TTGTCGCCTCTGAAAATAAAACGTCTTGTGAGGCCCTGTGTGGGCCGCCTTAGTCATTCTGATCTATGAGAGGTTTTTGACTCCTCATAAGATAGCAAGACCAAAAGGCTAAACTCCACCGTTCCATTGTGTTTTGTATTCTTATTATTCTTTAATGTTGGGTAAAACTAATCTTTGTGTATTCTTGTAAATTGGAAAACAAATTTGCAAATATTTGGATAACTAGACGTTTCTCCATGCATTGTTATAAAGTATAGACGTGAAATGGTTGCAAAATTGAATGAATAATAGAAATTCTAGTTCCGAAAGTTTTTCCACTTCATTGCCTTTGGAATTTCACGGGAAGAAAAGCCGAGGATTATTTTGGTTCTAGGAGTGACTACGAATCTTCTAACTATTTCCACTGGTACGCCCTCCCAGTGTTGATTTTATGAAGTGGAGTAATACCTACCTTTGGGGAATTTGGAGAAGAGGAGGGATACTGGGAAATGAATGATTCCACAAGACCAAATAGGCAAGGTAACAGCAAGTTGGTCCAATATAATCTATCCAATACTGATTTTGATCTACATCCATCTTCGAGAATAGTAATCAACAAGCGGACGTTATTTAAACTATCATCTTTGAATTGAACTAGGTTGCCATATCAACAGTACCGTTTATGCTACCAAATTGTGGCTGTATTCAATGATTCTTGCAGTTTGGTTATACATCCAATTTTTGAAAGACCATTCATTATAGATTGTACTTAGCATCCAGATCCTAAAATACTCACATCAATACAATCAATTAAACAGTAAATAAAACTTATCATGACGGTACAAAAGGGATTACTCCCCCGTACTATAAAGTAAAGCCCTGCACACCATCGGATCCATTGGGCCCCCAACTATGATGCACGATTAACTAAAGAACAACACGAAACGGATTTGACTATCCTGAGTCCCAGAACTTATATCAGATTCGGTTCAATGGGGACCCCGATCTGTTATAAATACAATTTAAAGAGTAGGATAGGTTAAATGATTGGCGTAGACAGGCAATCTTTAGTTCTCATAATTACAGTCTATACAAAGCAATTGAAAATAATTCAACCAAGGAAATACAATTCATTTTTGAGTAATAGTTGTCAATTTTACAATCAGGAATCATACACAAGTGTGTATGTTGGTCTTCATCTACATACGAGTAGAGATTTTTACTTACTTTCGATCATTTCATAAGCTCTCTATCAAGAAATGGTCTTGCCTGCACAATCATTTCCTAAATTTCATATATTAAAGAGATATTTTCTATCTAATAAGTCAATATATCAATGATGATATTAATTATACTTACCAATACTTGTACCCCAACCAAAACAACCACAATAAATTCCAAATTTTCTTCATGTGAATGACCCAATTGTTCTTTTAACATTTGTAATAAATCAGAAATAACTTCCAATCTTTGATTTAATAATTCTACTCGTTGATTAATTTCCAAATATCCTCTAGTTGCTTGATATATTGGTTCTAAATGAGGTTCTGCCCACATTAATTCGGGTGAATCTAGGACTGAGCCATGAAGATTGATATTTATACGTAATATAAATAATTCTCCGATTGATTTCATGATTTCATCACGAGTCATTTCTACTTTCCCTGTATGAGCGATTTGTTGCGGAATATCTTGAGTATCTTCAATAGTATTATCTACTAATTCTTCAAAAAGGGATATTTTAACTGATTGGGCTAAGGCATGGGATATTGAAAGCTTTAACATATAATTATCATCATCTCTTAATGTGATGAAATCATTATAGATTCTAGGTTGATAAGATTTTGTAATATAATAATTAAATTCTTCAATTTGAATATCTTCTTCTGAAAGTTTTTCCGATTCAAATTTTGCTAAATCTTCCAAGAATGCCAGTTCTTCTTTAATTGTATATCCCCACATTATAACTACACCATATTCAAATATGAAGATATCATTCTTTTTACCAATATCGATTTCTCCACCTTCATCAGCTAATCGAATTAATTTATGCCCTGCTGCTTCATCTCCTCCAGCTTCATCACCACTTCCTCTCCAATCTTTATAAGTGAATGGAGTATATAAACATTCATCAAATAATTTAGGACTTGTATTATGAATTCTTTTCCGTTCTCTTAACCAACGTAATAAATCTTTCATTCTATAAGATCCACAAGTACAATAAGCGGTTACTCTAGGTAATAAATCTCGATGCAGTTTCCCCAAGATTTCAGCATCTTTTCTTGCTGGTCTATCAGTGATTTTTTTAACTTGTGAATATACTCTTGCTCTTTGAGGATCAGTAGCAACATCTTCATTATCATCGTCATCATCGTCATCATTATCATCATCATCATTGGAAGTGATTCCATTGGATGTGGTTATACGATTAAGATTGGGTGGGTCTTCAGGAAGAAGTTTTAATTTTTGTGAAGTTCTTGACGTTCTTTGTAATCCAATTTTACTTGATTTTGTTAATTGTTGTTTATTGATATTTGATTTAATTGATTGAGGAGAAGGTTGATGGTGATGAGCTGATGAAGATGTTGATCCTGCTGATAATGGTTTCTTGGTTGTTGAAGATGAACTGGTACCAGCTGAAGACGGTAGAGATTTATCATTTGTTGTGGATGCTGGTGCTGTTGTGGTTGATGGTAATATTATAGGATTTTCTGGTATTGGTTGAGTAGTATTTAGTAATGGAGTTGTATCATTTATATTATTATCTTGTGACATTGTGAATTGGATTTGATTATTAGTTAATTAATTAAGGACAGATATAATGATGATGATAGTTAATCGATTGGTGGGTTAAAATGTTTTTGGTAAGAAAGTTTTGAGATTGTAAATTAATAGGTTATATGCAGTACTATTCGTTTATTATAGAACTGATTTATTGTTAGTGTATGCGGCTGATTAACAATTACCTAAATAGGGACCATACAAATATATTAGTAATTTATATGTTGTTGATCTCGGTATTATTTAGAGAGTAAATTACATAAGATATATAGAGTATACTGTAAATAATTTCTAGACACATGCGATGAGATACTAGGTTAAGGGATATAAGAGCTTTTGCTAGCAACAGCTGAGAATTTACTAGTGTATGCCAGGTAAGTAATTGGATAGTCAATCATCTCTTCTTACAGTACTTAACTGCTCAAAGAAGATAATGAACTAATGTAAAGCTCACCAATTCGTATAGGTACACAGATGTATACCTATTTCACAAGTATACAAGGTTAATCCCNATGAACTAATGTAAAGCTCACCAATTCGTATAGGTACACAGATGTATACCTATTTCACAAGTATACAAGGTTAATCCCTTTCTTTCATATTTGTTTATTAATATTTAGTTTGAAGAGATTAACTTAGTGTAACACTAGTAGTATTCAACAATAGAACATTATTAAAAAAATATTACACTGAGTAAAGTAAAGTGAGAGAGATGAGATGGATCTAAAAATTATTTTTATTTTATTTTTCACTGACTACCCGCTGACTTTTTAAAATTTATATCATTTATTAGAGACAAATAGCTTATAGACAACTGTATATATATNGTAAAGTGAGAGAGATGAGATGGATCTAAAAATTATTTTTATTTTATTTTTCACTACTACCCGCTGACTTTTTAAAATTTATATCATTTATTAAAGACAAATAGCTTATAGACAACTGTATATATATATCTAGACATTATCTACTAGGACAAACTAGGACAATAATAGAAGAACTAAAAACAAACAGAGATGTCTAGACCAGTTAAAGTTAAAACAACTGAATCTTCTAGAAGACATGCTTTCTCATCATTTAGAGAACGAGTAGATTCAATTAAAATTGAACCTTCAAAGAAATTAACTAAAAGAGCTCATGATTATGTTGAATCAAGTCATTTCTTAACTACTTTAGATCATTGGAAAGAAATCAATTTAAGTGGGAATTTCACTGATTTCTTAGATAAAGTAGAATTATATTCTCAATCATTACCACAAATTATTCATCATCAAAAACTTATATATGATTCATTATATCTGGCAATTGAAATAAATGATATTAATTCAATTCAACCATTATTAGAATTATTATCTCAATTCATTCATGATTTAGGTCCTGATTTCTTACCTTATTATCAATCAATGTTGAAATTATTAACTAATTTAATCATGAATATTGATCCAAATGATTATCAAAATAATAGAAATAGTTCAAATGCTTTTGAATGGTCATTTAATACTTTAGCATTTGCATTTAAATATTTATCAAGATATTTAATTGAAGATTTAAAACCAACATTCACTACTTTATTACCAATATTAACCATAACCAAAAAGTTATATATATCAAGATTTTGTTCAGAAGCTTTATCATTTTTAATTAGAAAACTGAATAACTTGAAAGATATTATTATATTTACATTATATGATCAAATTGATCATATAATGACTATTGATTCATATTGTGATTCATTAACCATTTTATATAGTGAATCAATGAAAAATACAAAGGGAACTTTCCATTCAAAATCAAATCAAATTTTTGCAACCTTAATTGAAACAACCCTTTATCAATTGGATAGCAGCAACCATGAAAAGGCACAACCAAAGTTAATTAGTATCATTTCTGATATCTTATTGGATATCTTACATCATGGTACTCCAGAATCATGTGATAAGTTTTATATATTGGTTACCAATTATTTAAATACTTTATTGGATAAAGATTCTTCCAAAATTGCTTTATTAACATCATGTCAAATCTTATCAACCCTTGTATTTGCTGATTCAGGTAAAAAGATAACCACTTGGCAACCATTATTAGAAACAACCGATAAATTATCCATTTTATTACTTAAACAAACCAACAACGATGCCGAATTATGTGAATCATATGTTTATTTATTAACAATCTTATTCAGAAATGCTGATGTCCAGAATTTAACTAAATATCATAAACGATTCTTTGATTCAATAATCAATTTAAACAATGGTAATTACTTTTTAACATTTGCTCAATCAAGTTTAAACATATGTAAACCGAAAGTAACAAATTTTGGATTAAATAAATATATTCAAGAATTTATTGATAAATTACAACCAACAGATGAATCTAAATTGATTAAATTGACTTACTTTTTGCAGAAGATTAAAGTATCAATTCCTGATTTCCCTACTTCATTCAAATTCCCTTTACAAGTAGTTGATGAGATTAATAATCAATTATCAAGAGATGTTTTATCAATTGAAGAATCAGTTGAGAAATTACAAGATATTTATTGGAAATTATTAATGTTAAATCAAGCCCATTCATCTGTTAATATTACTGAATCTGAATTACTCGATTTATTAACTAAACTTGGTGAACCGTCATATACTTTCAAATCGCACTTTTCTAAAGAATTAGCTGCAGCAGTATTGGCAATCACAACCCAAAAGCTTGTGAATAATAAGAATGAACAATCATGTTTACAAGTTTATGAATTTTTACAACAGCTGTTTGAAAGATTTGCTACATCATCTACATTTTTACAAGCCATGAATGAATTCATCAAATCAACATCTACTACTATTCCATCTCCTGAAATCATTGAAAGTTTATTAAACCAAGCTGTTACCTGTTTACATCTCCCTAGTCATACATCCAGATCTAATGCTATACAAGTTATAATCTCATTATTATCCATCTCAAACACAAACTCAACTTGTATAGACACAATCGGCACAATCGAATCAGTCCCATTAACTATCCCAAACGCAAGAGATATCACATTACGTATCCGAACCCTCTGTCAAGAATTTCTGAAACAAATCAACAACCCTCTGGAATTAGATAAAACAATAATCATCAATTATTTATTCGGATTATTATCCAATAGATTCATGCCATGTTGGGAAGGTGTTTGGGAAGGATTACCCTTGCTTGTTCAACTGTGTCGTTTAGAGATTTGGGAAATTGGATCCAGGTTATTATCTATGGATTATACCAATCAAGACCATGACTTTATGGGAGGAGATAGTGATGCTTTTGAAGATGAAGCTAATGGATTGAATGAATGGCAACCGAGAAATCCTAGGGCTTTGGGGAATTTTATTGGGTTTGAAAAAGAACATCTTGGGATATATAGAAATATTCAAGTCTCGTTGATTGAATTGGTGAGATCACAATGTGGGAATAATATTTATGAAGATTTATTAAGAAGTAATATCTTGACTGGATTTGGAAAAGTTATTAATGTGGTTGAAAAACATGCCGATGATTTAATTCCATTACTTATTCATAATAATAATGATGAATCATCATCTCAAACTTGGTCATTAAAACATAGAAATGAATTATTGGCCCTTTTTGTCAAATTCAAGAAATTAAACAAAGCAAAACTCGCTACTGAATTATATGACTACTTGTTCAATCATCTTTTATCCAGTCAACATACAAAAATCCAACAACTTGCACTTGACGTCTTATTCAACTATAACAAACCCGAAATTGTGAAATATAGAGACAATCTCAAAAACCTCCTCGATGAAACCATTTTCCGTGACGAATTGTCCAAATTCCTTTCTCAAGAATCTTCGATCATCGAAGCCAATGATAAAAGAGCAGTCATGTCATATGTTGTAAGAATCTTATTTGGAAGAGTTCAAGGATCAACCAAGAGTAATTCCAAATCGGGAAGAAAATTCGCCGTGATTTCAGTCTTACCGAATTTTAATGATGAAGATATTGTTGAATTTATAAGTTTAGGTTCTACCAAGATTGGATATTTAGATTTCTTTGCCGGAAAAACCCCAAAAGCAAGTTTGGGTTTAGAAAAGGGGTCATTAAAGAAGATGAGTGGGTTTATTAATTTATTGACTGAGGTTTATGATACTCTTGGAGCTAATTATAGTGAAGTTTTGAAGACAACTATTGAACCATTGGTATTTTGTTTAATTTCGGCTCAGAATAGAATTGAAAGTAATATCCAAGAAGATAATGATGCTGAACAAGATGATGAAGTGAGTGGAAAAGTGGCTAGAAATGTTAGGAGTGGAGGTATGAAATGCTTAGGTGAATTATTCAAGATTATTGGTCCTAGTTTTGATTGGAATCCATATGTGAATATAATCTATGAACATTTAATCATGCCAAGATTGACTAATTTCGCCGTTGAGAATTTACAATCTCCAAGTGCATTATTGGGAGTTATGACTAATTGGATAAATACTCCTAATAGTTTATGTTTCTTATATGTGGATGATTATGCTCCTGTGAAGGCACTTTTGTCAATACTTGCCAAAACTGAACTTGCGAAAGAAACTGTTGTTTCCAAAGTATTAGATTTCGTGATTGCTGCCTTAAAAAGAAGTGATGCAATGGATGAAGATTATTTTACATTATTGGCAATTGTGGTGGATTGTTTGCTTGGCAATTTATCAAATATAATTGTGAATATCACTCATAAGGAAGTTGGATCCAAGGCTATTCAAGCTTTGTTATTATTGATTTCGGGGAAATATATTGATGATCAAGAGACAAAAGCAAGTTTGATCAAGAGTTTAACGTTAGCTTTAGATAAGAATAATAATCAAATTGATATGGCAGATAAAGCCAATATCTTAATTTCTTTATCCAGTTTAATTGAGAATTATGATTGTGAATTCAAGGATATGGTGGGATTATATCAAACTTGTTCTAAATTATTTAGAATCTTCCTGGATAGAAAGATTAGAGAAACTTTAGTAGGTGTTCTTGTGGCCATGGGAGCAAAATTCGATTATATCAAGGAGATTTCTGTGATTATCCATGATTTGAATGCTTATTCTACTTCAAGAATGCAAGAATTGGATTATGAAACGAGATTGGATGCATTCAAATTAATTAATGAAGAGAAATATTCTACCTTTGATGCAATTCAATGGACTCCGATTGTTTACTGTGCTTTATATTTCATAAATGATCCTGAAGAGTTGGCTATTCGTGTGAATGCAGGATATACATTACGTAGATTTATTGATTGTTATTCCGGTAAAGAAACTGGAGAATTAGCTCAACCATATATCACCATATTGAAGAATGTCATATTACCAAATTTAAGAGTGGGGATCAGAAAGGATAATGAAGATATTCAGAATGAATATATTGGAGTATTAGAGCATTTAGTTTCGAAATCAAATTGGTTTGTAGATTTGAAAGATATGCAAGTTTTAACTTATAATGATCATGACGAGACTAATTTCTTTAAGAATGTGAATCATATTCAATTACATCGTCGACAAAGAGCAATTAAAAGATTGGCTGAGCATGGTAAGGATTTATCTGATTCAAGTATTGCTCATTATATCTTACCCATAATTGAAAGATATGTCGTGTCAACTGACGAAAAGTTTACGAATATTGGAATGGAAGCATTGGACACTATTGGAGTATTGTTGAAATATATCAATTGGAATCAATATCGTGCTATATTGAAAAGATATGTTGCTACTTTGAAATCAAATGATCAAGATGTATTGAAATATAGAGTGAATTTAGTAGTTGCCGTTTCGGATGCATTAGCAACTTCGATTGAAAGTAAGAACAACGGTGAACCAAATTATATCAAATCCTTACCTTCAGCTCAAGAAGATATCGATGATTTTATCCTTAATGAAGCATGTCCTTCCTTATTAAAAATCTTAAATGTTCGTGATGATGAAACTATTGTCAGTCGTGCTCCACTTGCAGAAGCATTAACTAATTTCATATTATGTATTACCAAGGAGAAGATTGATTCTGAATTACCCAAGATCTTAACCAGTACTTCACAAGTCATGCGTTCTAGATCGGAAGAATTGAGAGATGCAGTAAGAAAAACATTAGGTAAGATTGCTACTAGATTAGGTTCACATTATTTACCATTTATCGTTCAGGAATTAAAGGGTGCACTTTCTCGTGGATCTCAAATTCATGTTTTGAGTTATACTTTACATTATTTGTTAACTTGTTTGGCAAGTCGTAGTGGTGGGTTACAACATGGTGATTTAGATTTATCTATTGAATTAATTATTGAGATTGTGATGGAAGATATTTTTGGTGCTGCTGGTCAAGAAAAGGATGCTGAAGGGTATACTAGTAAAATGAAAGAAGTTAAATTTAAAAAGAGTTTTGATACTACTGAAATTTTATCGGGAAATATTACATTAAGTAAATTTGGTGATTTGATTAATCCAATTAAATTGATCTTACTGGAGAATATCACTTATAAAACCCAAACCAAATTAGATGAATTACTTAGGAGATTATCATTGGGGTTGAATCATAATTCAGAAGCTTCAAAAGTAGAAATCTTACATCTTTGTTATGAAATCTACATGTCTTCAACCGAGAAAGAACTACAACAGCAACAACCAAGAAATGGACCAACTGCTAAAGAACAACATTTCTTAACTACCCTTAAAAGAATTACCAAGACTCATGTTGATAATTCGATCTTCAAACATACAATGCAAAGACTTTCATTAGAATTATTACGTACTGCCATCTCACGTCATGATAATTTATTAACCGTGGCTAATCTTGAAGGATTTGTTCCATTATTAGATGAATCAATCCGTTCAGAAAATGATGCTGTTATTGCCAGTGGACTCAAAATCTTGAATTCAATTGTTAGATTACCATTTGGTGAAGAATCCCAAAACGTATTCAAGGCATGTGCTCGTCGTTCATTGGTGATTATCAAAGATTCTCCTTCGACCAATTCCGATGTTTGTCAAGCGGCTTTGAAATTCTTAGCTACAATCATTAGACATAATCCTGATGTGAATTTGAAAGAAACGGCAATTAGTTATGTCCTAACTAGAATCCAACCGGATTTGGAAGAACCTAATAGACAAGGGCTTGCATTCAATTTCTTAAAAGCGGTAGTCAGTCAACATATTTTAATCCCTGAAATCTATGATTTAATGAATAATGTTGCAAAATTGATGATTGTGAATCATGCTAAAGAAATCAGAGATATGTCACGTAGTGTCTATTTCCAATTCTTAATGGAATATGATCAAGGTCGTGGAAGATTAGAGAAACAATTTAAGTATTTGGTTAATAATTTGACTTATCCAACTGAAGAAGGAAGACAATCAGTTATGGAATTGATTCATTTAATTGTAATGAAAGCAGGTGGGGATTTATTGGAGAAATTATCAAGTTCATTCTTTGTCGCTTTGGCAAGTGTGTTGGTTTCTGACCTGGCTCACAAATGTAGAGAAATGGCTAGTGCTTTAATTGGATCTATGTTCAAGAAACTTGAAGGTAAGACAACTAGTTTACAAAATGTTGAGAAATATTGTATGGCATGGTTGAAACAAAATTCAAATCCATTATTGAAGAGATGTGGATTCAGTGTATATAAGATCATTGTGAATGTTTTTGGATTAGGTAAATTTGAAGAATTGGATAAGATTGCTCATGAAAATATCTTGTTTGTGATTAATTCAGCTAAGAATACTGAAGATAATGGTGGTGGTGATGTTGAATGGGAATTATTATATTCTGCACTTTCAACATTTAGTGCAATTGCGTCATCGACAAAGGAAAAGATCTTGGGTGAACAATATGGTAGTATTTGGCATTCATTGGTTGAAATTATGTTATTTCCTCACTCTTGGGTTAGATTATTGTCTTCTAGATTAGTAGCTATTTTGTTGACCAATTTAGATGATTTGGGATTTGAAGTTTCTGGATTTGAAGTACAAACTATTGCGTTTAGATTGATTCATCAATTAAGGGCTCCTGGAATAACTGAAGATTTGGGATTACAAGTCACAAAGAATTTGGTTATGATTGCTATGAGATGGGAAACTAATGGAACCAAATTGGAAATCAATGATGAAGAGGAAGAAGAAGAAGGTGACAGTAAGAGGGATACCTATGCTAATGATTACTTACTTAGAAGAATTTGTGGTATTATTAAACAAGAAAGTCTTCAATCAATTACTTCCAAAAAGGCATGTATCAAATTAGCAGCCATGTTCATTCAATTTACTACTGAAGAAAGATTACATCAAGTTTCAGAAATGATTATTGGGGCATTATATAATTTCACTGATGCAGAATATTCTAAATCACTTACTGATGAAGAATTGACTAGTTTGAGTTTGGAAAGTCTTGAATTAATTCAACAAAAGATTGGTACTACTGAATATACTAAGATTTATGCACAAGTTCAAAGAAGTGTTAGTTTAAGAAGACAAGAGAGAAGAGCCAAACGTGCACAATTGGCAGTTTCACTTCCTGATGCAGCAGCAAAGAGGAAATTAAGGAAACATGAAAGATTTAGAGAGAAACGTAAGCATGAAAAGGATATTAATGGATTTTATAAGAGTAAGAAGAAGAGAGTTTAAAGAGTGGTTTGTATATTTTTGTATATTATTGTTAATTATTTTGAAAATTTATATGTTTTTTGTTAAGATTCTATTTTCTATTCTGTAATCATCATCAGTTCATCTTGTTCCAGTTTTATTTGAGAAGAAGGAGGTTCAACTGAATTGACTTCAATTTGAGGAGTTTCTTCTTCTTTTACATCTGGTGGTTGTTGAGTGTCTTCTGGTTCAGTCTCTGTGTCAACTGTTGGAGTATGAGCAACACTTGAAACAATTGGTATTTCCAAACTTGCATCAGGAGTGGATTCGGGTGTTTCTCCAGATACCTCCAATTTAAGTCTTTTAACAGCCGGTTTGGATTCTTCATCTTCTTCCTGCTCTTGTTCTTGTTCCTGCTCTTTCTTTTGATTATAAACTTCCATTTCTCGTTGATATCTTAATTTATCATCTTCATATAATTTATAATAAGGTTTTCTTTCTTCATCATTTAAATGCTTCCAAGCATCAGTCATACTTCTTGATAAATCACTAGTTACACCAGCTTCTTCATTTTGATGTTTTATTCTTTCTTTTTCTTGTTCACAGAATAATAGATATGCATTAGTTGGACGTTTTGGTAAATCAGGATCTCTAACTTTTGGTTGTTTCTTTTCATCACTACCTGAACCACCAGCTCCAGTCTCAGTGGTATTGGCACCACTACTTGGTTTTTTCTTGCTGGCACCTCCACCACCACCACCACCTCCTCCACTACCACGTTTTATCAGTGTTGCATTAGTTCCACTACTAGCACCATTCTTGGCTTTCCAACTTTCATCTAAAATGCCAGGGGCAGGTGGACATGCCATTTCTTCAAATCCAACAATACCTTCAGGTAATGCATTTGCTCTATCTTCTAGTCTTTCCAAAAGGATTATATATTCTAATCTTAATCTTCTTATGGTTGATTGAGTTCTTGTTAATGCTAAAGTTGCAATTTCATTACTTTCTTCAATTTCATTTATTCTTCTTTTTAATTCTTTACATTTTTGTTTAAATTTTTGTTCTATAAGACCAATTGTTAGTATATTTGGATGATTGATTTGGTTGACTAATAAACATACCTTCACTTTCTGGAGCTATATCTTTTGCTTGTGCTTTCATGATTGGTTTGTTTTGTTTGTTTGCTTCCCTATATAAACTATGATTCTTCTATTCTATCTTGTAGGGGTTCTTTCTTTCTTTCTTTCTTTCTCTGCTTGTATAATTTTTTCTCTTCTATTTCATTTCTCAATTGTTTTTGTTAGTTGTTGTTGTTGGAACATCCAAAAAGAAGAAATGGAGGTTTTACAAGATCAATATAATAATTTTCTCTATAACTATAATTATATAGTTATTCCTAATAGATAAATACTACAATGCGAAACCATCGTTCTTTAACATCACCACCATATTTATGTTGAAGTTAAATAAGTTAGGAAGTCAATTAAGCCTCATGAACAAAAAGAAAAAGCACGTGATTACAAAAAGTCGGGTAACACCCTTCAGAATAATCTAAACTGAACAAATTGAATCAAAGTGAATAACATCCATTAAAATTGAGTCATTTATAGTCTTAGATAGTTTAGGAAGG